TGAGAGGGTTAGGAATATAGAGACATACCTTACAGTTAAATAACATGCCTTGACACAGGCTGGTGGACGTGGCGATGTAAACATCGGAATAAAAAGTATTCCATCTTTATGAGTGGAGATGCATCGAACAGCTGAAACTCCTTGACTGGAGAGACCAATGAAAATCTCCGACTCGGGTATGCTAAGCAAATCCCTCTCCACAATGTCTGCTCTTGAGGAATTCAATGTAACATGGGAGTATCTTCAATGGGGATATCCCTGACTGACTTGGACTTCAAAAAAAAGTTCACTATGATGTGACGTAGATGTTTCAACCAAGACATAATAACACAACACTTTGGGCTTGAATTCCTGTAGACGAATGGCCTTGAGATGTCCCCCCCAAGGTCAGTCGGCTGGTTCTGGGTCAAGTGAGTGCCATTGTTCTCAACGGGTGTTGTGGACATTGTGTCTGGTGCTGGTATTTGGGTATAGTGCCCACAATACCCCTGTGTAGCTGCACTGTCCTCGTTTGGCAATGTAGTGCGTCCTCTTGTAAGACTCCATGGTGAATACTAAATTTTCATCTTTTTCAATGAAAAGTATAAATACTGATAATCAAAATAAAATAAAAACCTCTAATTGGAAAACGACCTCGATTGGACGATTATGTTCCACAGTCACCATCTCAGACTGTTCCTGTACCTTATTTCTTCATTATTCATTCTCTGTGTGGGAAATCTTTAAGGCAAATGTCTCGCTTTTTCATTCAGAGGGGATTGACGGGGCTTTCCTATTTCAGTCAAGAAGTTACAGTCTGGTAACAAAAATTTGAACTGTGAAACAAAGAAATAATTGTAGTCGTAGATTATAGCGTTTTTCTGGAGAAATATAATTTCAATATATTTTTAAAACCTACAACTGTTATTTTAGTGTACTTTAGTTCGTTTACTTGGGATTGGACACTTTTAGCTTTTATTACTACAGGTACAGCTAAGCGTGAAGTTATTATATTAGGCTTAAAACTAGATTGTTAGGGTTTTTTGTTTTTTTAACTTTTCCCTTTAGTCCTTAGGTAACTTTTACTAATAATAATGGGTTATAGGATAATAAAGCTATTAAAAATTAAATTGAAATAGAGTTAGACAAGTAGGAGAATTTGTTTAACTTAAAAGATTACGCTACTGTTTCTATTACTGTTTGATGAATGCTGAGAATTTAATGCACCAGTAAGTTGTTTAAATTAGCAAACCTAATTATACGTGGTGAGGGGACCTCCCAGGAAAGGTCCTGACCGTATAGTTTACCTCCTCTGGGATCCAAACATCCACCCACAGGAAGGAGAGGATCTTGGTGGTTGATTGGTGTCAGGGGCCGTCCTTTATTCTTTATATTTTCTAAAGTAGCGAAACCCAACGATCAAATGAGAAAACAAAAAAAAACAACAACACCAACTCTTGATAAAACATTTACACATTATTTTGAAATACATCCAACCTTGAAACGTATTCGTGAACTCTGCAGAATTTATTTTGTATGCTTCTTTGAACTGTTCATATGTTGTTGTTGTTTTATCAAATTTGAGACAAACATGTTTTCAAAGGGCGTTGGCTTGTTGAAATTTGTTTACTCATTCACTAGATTTAAGAATACATTGAAGCTAGAGTAGATCTCCAAAAGTGTTTCGGTTTTACTATTGAAGCTCAATTATTTCATTCATTATAATTTTTTCTTTGGAAAATATTTCCCTACATTAAAAACTTTATTAACCATTGACTAGAGTGAATATTAAAAAAAAACAGAGTAAACACATAATATGAAGTGGTTCATTAAGTATATAACCTGTGTACTTCTACATGCACCGTGGATCCTAAATAGAATCAGAGTTCGTAACTTACGTTAGGCGAATAAGAAGCCATGCATTCGACCAATCTAGGTTATAAAGACAAAGGAAGAAGAGACAGTGGAAAAAAAAAAGACAAAAGTAAAAAACAAAACAAAAGTACACAAACACTAGCCCCCCAGTGGTACAGCGGTATGTCTGCGGACTTATAACGCTAGAATCCGGGTTTCGATACCCGTGGTGGGCAGAGCACAGATAGCCCATTGTGTACCTTTGTGCTTAATTACAAACAAACAAACACAAACAGTATAAAAGTAAAAAAAAAGAATATTTTGAAATTATTGAAATCATGTAAACCAACTGAGTTAATAATTAAGCTGTTGTTAATACACTTTTCTGACTAATGGCTTCCCATTATTGTTCAACACTTCCTATTAAACCCTACTGTTTTGTTTATCCTTTCTTATAAGTTTCGTTTGCTTTGTACATCTCTCTATATATTTTAACTGTTTTACCTGTTTGTGTGATTTTCTTTGTCTTTTTTTACTCTTGTCTTTATTACCACCACTGACATTCGACACGTGTTATGGAGAAACAGCAATGATAGAACCAGATTATTGTTCGCTCGAATATGTCTAAGTAAAATACTTAGACATATCTGCAGTATGTGCAGTGTCTTTCGAAGAGTTAAAAAAGGATCATATCTGGTCACGCAGAACAACGATTAGATCTGATCGTGCACTCTTCTATTTTATAAGGAATTCTGTAGTGACGTATGGTTTTATCACTTACTAAGTTCTAATAAAGAACGTACTATTTTTAATATAGCATATGAAAATTGGTAGTATAACAGGAGCATATGCTATGATAGATCTTTGTGACAAATGTGATTGAAATGATGAAAGTCACGATATTGTTAAAATGATACATTTTTAGTAAATGTGTAGAAGATTTTTCGCTTCTCGTAATTCATAAGTAGACTTAATTTCTCAATTTATTTTTGAATCAAGAACAGTCATTTTGAACTTAATTGATGACGAATCGTAAAGAGATGAAAAACGTTTTGTCAAATTCACATAGAACTGAAAACATAAGACCAGCGTTGTATCTTCGAGATACACGTGTAACGTGGAGTTAATCATATAATTGTTCAAGATATATATAGATACTGTAACCCAAAACTTCGTTTTAAAGTTCAAAGATAAGTAAGTAGTGTAACCTACATTTTAGTTTTATAGTTGAAAGATAATTATGATATAACCCAAAACTGATATTTATAGTTCAAATATAAATATACCGTAAACTAATTCTTGGTTTTATAGTTCAAAGGTAAATAGATATTGGAACACCAAATTTAGTTATAAAGTTTAAAAAAGAAGTAGATACAGAAACATAAAACCTAGCTTATAGCTCAGAAACAAGTATAATGTAACCCAAAATTTATTTTTTTAATTTAAATATAAGGTATACTGTAACCTAAAATTTAAGTTTACAGCTGAAAAATAAGTTGATTCTGCCATCAAACATGAGGTAAAATGTCAGAGAAAAGCTAATTCTGTCACCTGGAACTGAGATTTATGGCGAGGAGATTAGTAGGTTTATGCACTGATGTAATATGAATAAAATGATTTAGACACTCAGGTACATAAACTGTATTTCCCAAGGTCGTAATTGTACAGGGAGTTTGAATAGTTTTATCTAGAATTACTCAGGGGGGTGGGGTGGGTAGCTTGATAAAATCACGCGATCACTTATTTTTTTGGAGTAGTTTATATTATGTATCTAGTATAAAAAAAGAGACAAAAAAAATCTAGCTGTATTACTGACACTGGCATTAAGGATCAGCTTAGATTTCATTTACTTAACATTTTGTCTTATTGAAGTCGATGTGGTATTTTTGTGGACAAGCAATATAACATTAAAATCACGATTTGTGCTCATTCTCTCATGCATGATACAGGTGATGTTTTCCTTAAGTATTTTAAAATTATTTAACATAAAAGACTATCCTCTTACTTGTTTTAATTTTAAAATGTTCTGCAATTCTGCTTGTTTATGTGTTTTTATTCACAAACTTATTGCTTCAAGTGCTGTAGTTTCTACCGTTGATCGTACCTATTAAACACAAAAGTATGACGTCAAGTTGTGTAGTTTTTTGCATTGCGTGTTTTTCACAGTTATGACAGAACAGTAAGCTATTAATAAACAGTAATATAATGCTTAAAAGTTGTTTATCACATATACTAATAAAAGGATAAAATACATCTAATAAACGAAAAAAGAGCTTGACAATTACAAATAAACGTTCTTGAGGAAAGAAACCTTAACAACTAAGATTGAAAAAAATATATTGAAAAATACAGATAAGAAAATATTAGATTTACTATTAGTTGTAAATATTTATGAGAATATTCATTATTTTTAAATCATTTTTTGACGTTTGGTATCTTCAACTTGAACAGTACTTTAATATGAGACATAAGTACAAACGGTCAGGCTCAAACATAGCCGTCTCTAATTTAGACTGCGGAATTGACTGTCAATTTTTATTTCACACCCACAGCTAACAGTATGGAGCGTGTTCAGAGGCATGTTGCGGGTAGGAAGGATAGACCTTCCAATATTCAATTCAGCTCAATAATCACCGAGACGTGCCCAGTTAAAAACTGTTTTTTTACTCACTGATAATATTACTTTTAGAACACAACTTTGGTGGAATTATTTCGTCAAATTCTTACTTGAAAATGTAACCCTATGTTCTGGGCGTTTTCTTAAGTTGTGGTATTCTCAGATTGACTTATTTTCCTGCGAATAAGTTTGTTTTGTTTTGAATTCTCACAAGGCTACTCGAAGGCTATCTGCCCTAGTCGTTGCTAATTTATTATTGATAGACTAGAGGGAAAGCAGCTAGTCAAACTCATCGCTAACTCTTGGACTACTCTTTGAACAACGAATAGTGGGATTGACCATCACGTTATAACACCCCCATGAGTGAAAGGGAGAGCATGTTCGGTGACGAGCCTTAATCACAAGGCCATGCCAAGCCTGCAAGTATAGGATAGAGATGCTAACAGCAGGGTCGAACAGAAAAATTGATAAGTTATCTGAATCTGCAAACTCAACTGAGTTTTTAACTTGTGTGAGAAATAAAGTGATTGGACATGTTTTAATGACAATGAAAACAATCTTTATTATAAAACACAGGGAACAAGTGTGCGTAGACAAGTGGATGATCACATCTACTGGATCAGTGACTAGATCTTCAACTTTTCTTCCCTCGACTTGAATCTCTGCACAAGTAGGGATGTCCGTGAAATTTAGGTTTACACAAAACCACCAGTTTCTTTGTCTTGTTGATGTATCACGTAACCTATCACTTGCTCTTAACAATCGCAGTCTTAGACATTCCGATGTTTTCTCCTCAGCCAGCGAAAGAATATGTCTACCTTTTTGGCAACACATTTGATCCGAAAAATGGAGAAAGAGAGAGTCAAAGTCACGATTTAACTGAGAAATCTGATGGTTCTGGATCAAGTATTCTTAAGCCAAAATTTACATAGAAGCAAAATACATAGAATTTTCAAAAGATGGTGAAAAAGTACATGATATACTCGAATTTCACACACTCCTCATCTGTCTTTCAGGTGTGACCTCAAGCCGCCAATTAAAATCAGCTTTAAACCTACGACCTGGTCAAGAATCACGTTAACTTTCCTTTGTCCCTAAGACATGTACACGACACGTGGATGACACAACGCTTTAATAAAGTATTATGTATTAATGCCCTTAAAATATTGCAAATGACCTACCATTCAACACAATTCATTACAATAAAACCATATAACTGAAACTGAAATTAAATGCATAATGAAATAATGCACAATAAAATGAAATAATTAAAATAAAATCCTTTAAAACATGTTACCATGGAAATGAGACATATAAATGAAAAAGTAAGAGTAAAAGAAAACACAAATTACATAATACAAACATAAAAAACCCTTTAACACCGAATACAATACAAAAATACCATCTAACAAAGATAAAATATATGAAATGGCCCTTAAACAAAGAAATATATGAAAATACCCTTAAATACCAACATATTAATATATTTAACAAATAACAAGTAACAGGTTAGTACACACCTTATATGAATGCAAAATCTTTACATAGAAATCACATATTTAAAAAAAGCTTTAAAACATACCTTACCCTTTAAATGGGATTAGTCTAACAGACTTCAAACTAAATGACAAAATAGAATTTAAGTAAAACACATTAAAAAATAATAACTTGGCCAAATCGTTTAATAATTAAATGATGAATCAAACAACTTTAACAAAGATTACCTACCTGTTTAAAAAGGCGGCAGTCTAATAGATGAACTACATAAAATAAAAAGTACAAAACAAAATAAAACCAAGCAACAAAGATAACTATCCCCTTTAGAATGGGACTGTCTAGCAGAATAACAAATATATATACAAAACAAAACGACACCTTTCAACAAAAGTCACCCGTTCCCTGTAGAATGAGGTAGTCTAATATACTATGCATAAGGACATAAAAAAATGAAACTTCAGAGTCTTAGAAATTCCAGAGTCTTACCCTTAGCCAACGGAAGGATGAGGCTATTTTTTCTCCAGCACAGGAAGTGATACTAGTTCCAAAAAAAAAAAATGAGAGAGAGGCAAAGTCACGCTTGAACGGAGAAACTCCAATAGTTCTTATGCTAAAACCTGTTTATAAGCAATACATACGAAAATTTCAAAATGTTTAATATCACTAAAGGTTATGAAAAAGTTAGTGATATACAGAATACATGAGATACTCGAATATCACAAAGTCATTCCGTGCTTTGTCCAGAAATATTTGTTTTTATATCTTATTTCTATACGTTGCAGGCTGCATAGAGGATCTTATTTTGTGAACCTTTTGTATTTTTACATGATGTAATCTTAAGAAAACGATTCTTTAAAATGAATATGTTTCGCTAAGTAGAAAATAGAACAAAACAGCGCTGATACCTTGTGCATGACATGATTTAATTTTATCTTTATAATTTGACGTTATGTAATAAAGCAGAAAAGATGCTATTTCTGTAAAATAAATCTCCGTTAAAATAATTTTCTACGAATATTTTCAGGTCAAATAATTGAAAAAAAAATTGCGATTTTAGAAGGAAACTGACAGTCGTAGTAGCCCTTGAAGTCAAAATTACTAAAGTTGATAATGGGCGGAACATTCACTAAAGGATTGCAAGCTCTTAGTAAAAAAATTCAAGATGATTCTTCGCGGGATCCCTTAGATGATCCACCTGTTCCTGCTCCTCCTGATCCAAGGCTTCCTTTAACGGCAAAACAGGTGTTCAACATTTCTAAATCGTGGAAGGGAATTGCACGTGCAATGGAAACAACGGGTATTACGATGTTCGTCAAGTAAGTAAATTCAGGTATATATTATCAAATTATCACAGGGCTGGAAGATCAAGGAATGATTTATATATTAGGTTATGTTAGTTACCTTTACCAAAGTAAATATGTCTTTCAGAAAATGTTACTTTACATTTGATACGATCTTTTTATGATATAATTCCGTAAATCTTTCATGACTGCTTTTCATAACGATGTCACACTTTATAATCACAGTTACCACAAATTAATCATCGAAGCCTAGATTTACAATATTTGGTAAATATTACTATTATTGGTCAAATATTGTATTACGATGTTGACGTTACATAATTATCCTTTATGCTTTTTTTTTCTCAAGCTTTGTATGTTATATAGATAAGTATATTCATATCTTGGTAACATCAAACTAAATATGTTTACTACGTTTATAACACAGGCCTGCGAATTTAAACTTCATAAAAGTTGTTTTGGTCTTAATAACGGATATACCATTATTCAGCTACGCAAAGTACGAAAATAATATTCAATTTTTTTATCACGAAAGGTTTTTTGACAAATCAGGAAGAAAAAAAACTCCTACATAGATCAAATTATTATTTTGTTTATCACAATGAAATTTTTTTATTATTATGTTTGTTAACAAAAATACAAACAAACTGTAGAAAAGGGAAAAGCATTAATGTCAAACGAATATGCATCCTCCTTCATCCTAATTTTTTGTGTGTGAAATCTACATGTTGTGGTCTTTATTTTATGTATTGCGTCTGGAGCATCTCGTTTCAATGACCAGTAGTAATCAGCTACAATGCTGCCTTTCCACTTTCCCTGATACCTCCTTTCCATTTCCCTGATACCTTAATGAAACCTTTCCTCTTGTTCTTCGCTGACGGCGCCGAGAGTTGGAGGGGAATAGTCAATGTGAGTGTAAGAAATTAACTTTCAAGTTCATATTACAACCCAAATCTTGGAATTTTTCGAGCATGTTATTAGCAATATTTTCGTAATTTGGGTCCTTGTTGTTTTCTAAAAAATTTTCAATAACATCTTTAAAGGCAATCCACGCTTCTTTTTTTAACTTTCCTTATTGTCTTTTCGAACTGTTCATCCGAAGTCCATTTTCTAATCTGAGGCCTAACAAAAATCCCTTATTTAAGTTTCGCTTCTGAAAGAGCTGGGAATTGCCCACATAGATATTTGAAACAGTTGCTATCTTTGTCTAAGGCCTTTAAAAACTGCTTCATCAAGCCCAGTTTTATGTGAAGTGGAGGTAAAAGGACTTTCTTTTTGGCAACCAAACTTTCACGTTCAAAGTTTTCGATCCTGGTATCAGGCTGGCTTTGCGTGACCATTGCTTCTTTATCCAGTGCTGATTTCGTGCTCTGCTATCCTATTCACTCGAAAAAACATGGAACTTTGTATAACTGGATTGTTGATCCAACAACATACATAGAACTTTTAAGTCTCCACACAAAAGCTAATCATGTTCTTTATATTTGACCTTATTAAGAAGAAGTTCGAGATTTTCGTACGTTTCCTTCAAGTGAACTGAATGAGCAATAGGAACAGACGCATATATGTTACCATTGTGAAATAGAACACCTTTTATACTTCTTTTGGAGGAATCAATGAACAATCGCCACTCACTTGGTTCATAGACTGCAGCTCCTAGCATTCAGTAATATTGTTGCAATAAACCAGTGAACATTCTTTCGAAAAGTGTGGTATAAACTCTTTCTCACGATTTCTGTACCAGTAAAATGATGACTGTGGAGAAAGTAAGTTTTTAGCTCGAAGACTGGCCCCAAAAATGTCTGAAGAATCCTTTGGAAGACCCAAATCTCTCACCAAATCATTAAGTTCACCTTATGTGAAAAATTATGGTTCACCAGACGTTTCAGGTTGAAAACTATCTCTATCATCATTTCTACTGACATCAGATTCAGAATCACATTAAACTGTATCACGAGTCTCAGGTGGAGTAGGTACAGGGTACATCAGGTCCTTGAGCAACAGGTCTTATAGCAGATTGAAGGTTCGGATAAGAAATTTCCTTTTTATTTCGAGTTTTGTAGTCTTGCATGTTACACGATCAAAAATTGCAGTTATTTTTAGGTTCATTGAAATTCCAAAAGGCAAAGACTTTTTTTCCCTTAAGTCCATTGTCTCAACTCTTACACACAAACGGTGCAAACTTTGTGCGGAGCCCATGATTTGTCTTAGTCCCAAAGTTATATTTCAAAATACGCGTAATGCGCTTTTTTGACAAATTCTGTAATGTTTTGCCTTTGTTTCTTTACAACAAATGTGTTTGGGTCATTTAAACACTCTCTTATTGCCATAACGACGAATGAATAATCTTGAAAAGTTTGTTTTGTTTTTGAATTTCACGCAAAGCTACACGAGGGTTATCTGCGCTAGCCGTCCCTAATTTAGCAGTGTAAGACTAGAGGGAAGGCAACTAGTCATCACCACCCACTCCCAACTCTTGGGCTACTCTTTTACCAACGGATAGTGGGATTGACCGTCACATTATAACGCCCCCAGGGCTGAAAGGGCGAGCATGTTTGGTGTGACGGGGATTCGAACCCGCGACCCTCAGATTGCGAGTCGAGTGCCGTAACCACCTGGCAATATTGAAAAGAAAAAATAGTGTCAAAGTGCACGCACAAACAAATATTATCCAGAAATGACACGTCATGCGGCCTATTAACCGGTGTGTTTCTCGTGGGTTCTAAAACTTTCGATAAGACTCTCACCGCGCGATTTGTCTTGAGAAATCTACCGCCAGTGGTTTTCAACATATTAAGCATAAAAACATTTGACCCGATTTCAATGAAACTGATTCACTTATGAAAAAATACATATGACGTTTTGTGAAAAGTTTCTACGTGATGGAAAAAAAATGGATATCATTTTCAGATTCAGCGTACAGGAATTACTGTAGAACATGTAAACATTTCAAGACAATAAAACTGTTGCAGGCCTGTGTAATGTTTAATTAAGGATATTCATTGCAGTGTTTGTATTAAACTAAAGATGTTCACCGAATTAATAATATTAAACAAGGATATCCCCACTATGATTTAAAAAACATTTCTTAACCTTGTTTGTTTGTTTCTTTGTTATTGTTTCATTGTTTTGATTTAGCGAAAGCTACAAAATGGGCTATCTGTGCTGTGCCAATCACAGGTATTGAATCCCAAAATTTAGCCTTATAAGCTTTCAGTCTTACCGCTGAGCCTCGAGGGAGTTGTTCTCAATACGCACTTTATTTAGCTATGAATAATCTTTACTTAAAGTTTGCTTAACTATGTTTTCATCTTTTTTTATATTTACTATTGGTATTTTTCCATCTTTGTTGTATTGTTATTGGGATAATATTCTGCTTCTTAACCAAACGTTTGTTAAATACCAGCAACATGCCAATGATACTGTTTCTGTGATCCTCTGTGTACATTCATTGATAAATTTCAGGTATTTTAACATAAACTTTGTCACAGCTGAAAGACTTAATTCTGTGTATATGGAAATTTCATGTGTTTTCTCAGAACGTGCCAATTTTTTATATAATGAATGAATAACAAGGTGTCATATTTGAGCAATTCATATTTTGTTCCAAAGAAGTCCTCGTGTTACTGTAACTTATAGATCATTCAACACCCAAAATATACAACAATACTTTATCAGAGTGTATAGAAGGCATTTAATCAATAAACAGAAAGTTTACACAGTCTGCATACAAAACTGTACTGTGAAGGGTAAGGTGTTTCGCTAATTTCTGGGTAAAAGAAAGAAAATATGATTACTTGAAGTTAACTAGAACCTGAATGTATTACGTAAGGAATCTTTTAATATCAGGTAAACATGCAACTCTGATGGAAAAAGAATTGACTGTACTGTTTGATGAATTTTAATTTCTTTTTTGTAAGTTATTCTTTTAACTAGTTACAAACCAGCTCGACATAGCTTACTATCTTAACAATATCTTAGTCTGTAATAAGTCACGTTTGAGCCTGAATAATAGACAATAATTATTTAGAGGAGCGTGATACTCATCATTTATGAAGTTACGTTCATGTTTAATCGACAATAACGATTTTTAATGCAGATGATTTAGAGTTTGCGGTTTATTCAATTTTGATTTATGAGATGATTTAAGTTGTAGTTTTTATTGATTGATGATTAATGATATTGTTGCGTATCTGCTTGTTTGTTAATTTCCGGTAGAAATTCTTTCCGAAAAGCTTCAGCAATGCAAGTCCTTTCATGATTAAATCAGTTTATTCTTTCTCGATACAAACTTTTAGCACACAGTAATTCCACAGTCAGTACGTTTCTCGTCACATTCAACTTAATGACTTTTATAACACACGCTATAAATCACAGCGATTCACAATCTCGATAACTTCACTCTCTATGAGTGCAAAATACACACTAGCCCGAAACTCACCCTGACTATTGTTCACTTTATCATACATTCAAAACCACTGGCTTTTCTCGCCAGGCTTATATGCTAACAAAGAGGCGTCTCAATCACACTCGAGCTTCCCCGATAATTCGAGAAACTCAGTCACGCATGCTTCCAACGTCACGTGACTTCCGTTGTCGTAACAATATATTTTTTTTTTGGAGTATCTTATCAGAAATGTTAGTATATATTGGCAATGCATGTGGTTGATATTGTTATCATAGCATAAGAAGAACTCTAGATTCATAGTTGCTGAAGACTATACCTAGTTTCAAATTTAAAGGTTCTTTGATAGTTGGTGTTATTGTATCTTCTGTCGATCTCATGTGGTAACTGCTGGTTTAGGGTTGTGTGTTTAGTAAAGAATGCGTCAACATCTATTAACACCTTTGCTAAAAGATTGTTACAGAGATCCTACCAATGCAGATATTTAGATCTTACAAAGGGTGAATGCTGTAAGAATATTACACATCAAAGAGTGAAACCTAACTGAAAACGCCTGTCAAGCTTGCAAGCAACATATATTTGAACATATAAAAGGTATATGCGATCTTGCACTTTTGTGAAAGATGTACTTTCTATAAATTTATATAACTTACTAGCATGAAATACCCGCGCTTCACCGTGAGGTTTAAACGTCCCCTAAAAACGCACCAAACATAATGGGTGAGTAGGAGTAGTTTTGCAGGGTCGTTGAACTCGAATCTGGTATCGGATACTGTGTTTTTGACTCCCCTCGTGTTTCTGGGAACTCCATTTTTGAAATTCTAATCGTACACCCAGTCGCAAACTTGTCACTTGTCACACGTGTTCAATTACCACGGGTGGGTGCTCTAACCTTGTTTTTGTTGGGGTATAAACCCCTCATGAAGTAGCTATAAAAGTAATTGCAAATAATATAGGATCTTTATGGGTACATTAAGGCTTCTGTGAATAATGGCTATCCTTTTGTACTTCCCCCATAGGGTTTACACCATGTAGATAAGTTTTCTGCCGAGGTTGGTTCTTTTAGCTCCATCTTATGGGGGGGGAGGAGTTCGAGGACAAACAAATTCTCAAACACACGATATATTTTATCTACATGGAAGTAAAGTCTGTATGTCTGTACGGTATGTGCTCTGGGAAGATAATTGAGTCTGTTTTATATAGACCATGATAATATAAATAGACTTCCACACTTATACTAAAAATGTCAGTACTTTTAACCCCATACGTTAACATCAGACAAGAGGGGGACCAAATTCCGGAATAAAATAGCTCAAGTTTATTACCATCTATTGTAGGGAACAAACGAAGTTTTTATTATATAAAATATCTTATTTTTTGTATTTAAATTTAACTTTCTCATCTTCACTTACATTAAATTTCTTTTTTTTTTGTCATTGCAAAACTTGTTATCTAAGATCTTATTTTACAGTAAAGGATAAAATCGTGGTTTCTTTACTGTCTTTTAGAGAAATATGCTTGCTAGGATACATGAAAGGATGGTTTCAGAAACAGGATCTATGTGCATTTCTGGGATTATGGGTTTAGTTATTGTTTTGTTCTTTCAATTTGTTCCGAATTTTCGAGCAAAAATATATAATGACTGTTTGCGCAAAGTCGTTTCTAATATTTATCTAATAGACTAGAGGAAAGGCAGCTAGTATACAGCACGAACTATCAACGCTTGAGGTACTGAACACTGGGATTTGCTTGGTTCTATTATAGCACACCCACAGTCCATATGGAAAACGACTTAATGCCATAGGGCTGCGAAGCATCAACCCTTGGATTCACAAACCGAGTACGATAACTGATATTCTACCGCCGACCCGGGTGTTCTTTTTTTGTACTGTTTTCTTTTTGTCTAGTTATCGTGATTAACCTACCTTCTGACTTTGTTTCTAAATTTTAATGACTCTGACTAAGAAGTTTCTAAGTAGTTGCTGGAATCAGATTGGTTCTTCATCGTACTGGAACAATGGCTGATCAAGGAGATAGAGCAGGTGTTATCCATGTTGTGATTTATAACAATCCACCAAAAGAGAAAGGAAAAGTCAGCTCGCTACATCCTTCAAATAACTTGGCCAGAAAATCCAACTTTGGCAAACAGTAGAATTTTGTTAATTCCTCATCTTTATTCTTATGGAACTTTATTTCATTAATTCGGTGGGAAGAGGCAAGTCTGGTTATAAGTATGGAAAAACTGAATATTGACTAAGTGGTCACCTCAGTCCAAAATAATGAGAACAATGTTCGATTATTGTTAATCCCAGGGAGGAGTGAATCATTCACCATACATTGTGCAAGGCCAGATGTCATAACCATCAGAAAGCTAAGTTTTAACAAAATATATTAAATCTTTCACAACAAAGTTTTGAAGGCGTTCTTATCAAGCAATATTTTCCATATGAATATCCATTAACCATTCGCATTTTATAAGGTGGTATCTCTTTCAAGGCGGTAGAAAGTGATAATAAGGTTAGAAGATAATAAGTGTTAAAGTTAAATATATTATAGCCAGGTTTTACTGGTCTATTCCACAGCTGTGCTCTCAATCCGCATCTAGGTCCAAACACCATCTGCGTTGAACCAATAGAAATCTTACTATTACTTTATCAAACTCTCATCTCTGTCAAAGGACTTGATGTAGCAAAACAAGTGAATATTAAATTAACCAAGATTTTGATTAACTATTAAGCCAATTAGATATTTTAGTCGAATCTACTATACTCAGTACAATAACATCACCAATGGGTGAACTTACCTTATCAGCCATCGTAAAGACAACCATTGGTTAAGAGGTCACATAAATCTGTCCAATCTTCAGACAGAAAATGGCCATCATCTTTGGACCCTATGGGTAAGAAGGAGGACACACACGATTCAGCCTGTACTTAAGGCAGTTTAATGTTATTGCTTTCATTGACGTTTTCTATTTCCCTCAAACCCACAAGTTCCCATATACCTTGAAAGGTGTACAGTGATTTTGTCCCTTACATATACCTGCAGATTGGTGAAGATTTGAACTGTACGAAAAGAGCTACCAAAATATAACATTCAGCAGTGGCCAATAACAATATGAATTTAACTTAGGTTTGTGCCCAGCACCTTCTTACAAGCGATATAATTCTTTCTTAAATATCTCTACTAATATAATATTATATCTTCTTGATATTGGAAATCAATGTCCAAAAGTAACTGAAGAATCTACTTACTTAAACATCTAATTATTCAACTGTACATTAGATAAGATTTGATTAACGTTTTAGTACATGCTGTGGGTCGCGAGGGCATTGCCACTGATTCTAAAAAAATGACTACAGCTATTGCAAACTAGTTTAAACAATAACCCAAACAATAAATGTAAAGTGTATTGGATTTTTGTCTTGCTTTACTACTGCTTTTTGTCAGAGATCCTCACAATATTTTAATCTTAACTGTATACGGTTTGTTTGGATAGACTTTGAAGCAACATTATAGAAACAAATTTTATTGTTTGTCTACCTCTGCGAAAGGTAATGCCCTTTCTTCCTTCTTCATGCTTCAAAAATCGATACTCATACTGATGTAGTACTTTTCAGATCCAAGATGATGATGAAAGAATTGTGACTCACACGACCTATCTTTTAGGCATTCACGGAGAAATTATACCACCACCAATAAAGAAGTGTTGACAAAATTGACATAGTACTGACATTACATATGTAATCATGCCCTCCAGAATTCTATTGTAAACTTACAGAAACCTGAGATTGACTGCTGGTTATCATACTATCGAGAATTTTGACATTCCACCGAGATAACCCAAACATTACAGGAAGAAAATAGTCCCTTTTTATCCTCTCTTAATATCATGAAAGAAAATCAAAGATAGTGTGACAAGAATATAATCTTGGTGGTTGCTGTACTGATTCCCCAATCGAGAGGAGGAATTAAAAAGAAAGCAAACAACGAATCAGGTATTGATTTTTCTGGACGAGACAAAACAGATTCGATCATTATATTGTATATATATATATATATATATTACCTCCCCCACATTGTAATTTGTACCTTAGTTTTATTTGTCTGTCTTATAAGTGAACGATTTTATTATTTACATTTTCAATGTCCCTCGGTGGTTTAGTGGTAAACCCATTGTGCAGATTTGCGCTAAAACAAACCATTGTTTTAAAGGACTCTCATAAATAAAACATGCTGTTTTTATGTCCTTTCCCTTAGCTGTCAAATTAATGATACATGTTGCGCAATATTTATCTATCCATCCATCTATCTATCCATACTTAAGTAAATATTTTCACTTTTTTCTCTTGGGAATACAATTACGACCAGTGGCTTGTAATAACGAAATTGTTGAGTCTTTCGTCTTTGAAGCAGGTCTTAGCTGAATTATATATAGATTAGTAAGTATTTGATTAAATAAATGGTCACTTGTTTTTGAGTCTCAGAGATCAGATTGTAAGAAAACACGCTGTAATTCTAACTGAAGACATGAATAAGATCAAATACTTTGAAAAATATGAGAAACTATCATCTATGAAGCGGGTGAGAAATAAGCCGAGAACTACCATCATGACGTAGTACTATGTTAGTTTGATAATATAGATCATAATAGGAAAAAATACTGCCTTTATGCTTGATAAGCTACTTTAATACGACTTCCACATCCTTTGATATTCGTATGCCAAATAAACTTATCATGTGATGTGTAAGTTGATTGCTTGACCCGTTGACCCCCAGTTGCTCAGCGATAAACTTAAATAACGCTAAAAACATCGGGGTTCAATAACCGCGGTGGGTACATCTTAGAGAGCCGATTGCGTAGCTTTGCGCTTAAAAAAACAACTAAAGCTTGATCCGTATTAGTGCAAATGATGACTAGTCCATAGATTTAAGAGTAAGTTTAATAATCTGTCAGACTTTTAAAGGGAAGTGACAATAAGTGTCATCTAGCAAGATGAGCAGGATTTGTCAGGAATGACCTATCTACAACAGCACCATGAAAAAGGCATAATACAAATTCCAATATGGCAGTCGACAACCAGTCCTGGAACTTCTTTCCTCAAATGCAAAATGGAAAGCCCGGCTTCAATGATACTTACTGTGCAGACTTTGGCAATAAATAATTGAAAGCATGTGATGTGATTAACATTTTTCCCATTTCTTCTCTAACGGTAGAGCAAAAATATGGAGAAAACAGTACGAGATACGAAAAATGGTTTTAACGAGATACAAAAAAATGGTTTTAACGAGATACAAAAAAATGGTTTTAACTATTTTAGAAGGACGAATATGATCACTTTACATTTTAGACCAGACTGATAATGGCTCTTTCATGACGATAATGCAACATTCCACCGCGCTAATAAGCTGCTTAAAAACTTTAAATAGCATCTTGTCTATTTGACACCATTACTAGAACTCAGCACAACTCGGTACCTTTAGAACGTCGCATTCGCCACCACAATCCTCTGCCAACATCCGCAAACTATCTATTGAGAAATAGGATAAAATGGAACAACACAATTTTGATAATATTATGGAATCTTAATATATATATATTCTTCAGCTGTTACGCATGTCAAAGGTTATTGTCATGCGGCAATCACGGAAGAGCTATTGTATTGATATTTTACTAGCAGAGACCTCCAAAACAATTGCGGTC